TGTCCCTTTAAGGCTTGAAAGTTTTTCCAGGCTCAGGGCTGTCCTGGAAAGCTGCTCATCTGGATGCTGTCCCCCTGTAGTCCCGGGTTGTAATAGGCCGAACCCCCAAAGTTCAGGTCCAGAGGTTCGCTGTTGTCAAATCTGAGAACTGTGGAGAATCAGAATCAGAATCAGAATCAGAATAAGGTTTATTGCCAAGTAGGTTTTTAGACTTACAAGGAATTTGCCTTGTTGTTTGGTGCACAACACAACACTTCTATGAGAAGCAAGAAATAAAATGTAGAAATAAAAATATAGGACAGAAATGATAAAGCTGAAAAATACAACAGAATGACATCAAATTTCTGGAAAAGTCTTAAGAATATGCATGTCTCAAAGAAGCTTTTCTGGTTTCCAGGAACAGCTTTTAGCACAAGTTATTAACGTTTCAGAAAATTGAAAAACACATTAACCCTGTAATGCCAAATGTTTCTGAAATGTTTTGCGTCTGTTATGTAACAACGACGGCAAGCTGACAATATTCCCCGATTGATATAAAACTTGTATAGAATATGCACAATTTATCATATACTTTTGATAAAATATCACTTCAAATTAACCCTGTAATGCCAAATGTTTCATATCTGATTCATACGGTTTCTGAAATATTTTGCATCTGACACCTTTTGCTTAATTTAATGGTAAAAACTTTGCTCAAAATCCTATTGTACACAATCAGATACACCTGATAACTGGGGGCAGAAGACTACACAAAAAATAATCTGGACTTATCGCATAGTAACAAATTATTAATATCAAAAATGTATTTCTGTTTTTTCTTTTTACATATTTTGATAAAAGGCCAAATAAAGACTTCAAACCAAACAGAAGAAATTTTCTGTTGGCATGGCATGGTTACGTCTTTATAAGAAGGTTATGAGCAGGATAATTCAACTGGTTTCCACACAGACTAACCTCTCCACCTCTGAGGCTCTCACATGAAAAGAAAAGCGACTGATCATAAACGCATCGAAGAGAAAATTAAGGTGTTTCATTTTAGAGCAAAGCCCTGGGCATCAAACGTCGCAGTTTTTTTCCAGCTTCTCATTCTCTGTTTACGGTCTGTCACCCACAGAGATGTTCAGTAAAGTACCGTATTTAAGTACAAAAATGCAGTATCTGTACTTTATTGGAGTATATATTTTTTCCCTACTGTTACTTTTGCTCCACTACATATTTTTGATTAATTTAATACTTTTACTCCGATCGTAATTTTCTGCTTTGTTTTATTCTTGGATCAGGCTTGAAAGGGTTAAGTACCAAAAAAAATGGAGTACTTCCGTAATTCCACTTAAGTATGGCGTTGAAAGAACACTTCTACTTTTACTCAAGTCAATTCTTTTATATAGTACTTGTACTTCTACTCTAGTACTTTAAACATCTCTGGTCACCCATGAAAACTCTTCCAGATCCAGCTGTAAAAACCTGATTGAGTCCGAGCGGTCTGATACTGATATTAAAAAACCAATCAGGTCTCATCACTGTGTTAGTCTGAACAATTTAAAAATGCTCAACTTTGAGAACTTTGTCAAATTTTCTCAGTTAAAAACTGTTTTTTAAATGCTTGCATGATGAGGCCCCTGAGGTTTTGAGTGACTGTAGTTCGTTTTTAGACATAAACTTAAAGGCTTTTTATTGAGAGGTCAGACATGTGGACGTTAATAATTTAACTGAGCTGGTCTTGTATCTGTGATGTTTTATTGTGTAATTTGTTCTGTTGTGTACAGTCACTGTGTTTTGTGTAAAAGCCTAACTGGGGACAGGCGTTGAGAATTAGCCTTTAGCTAAAATGTTGTAGTGTGTGACATGTTTCATGAAACATACTTGTCCCTATCAAATAAACCAGTGTTTTTCAACCTTTTTTGAGCCAAGGTACAGTTTTTCATTGAAAAAATCTCAAGGCACACCACCAACCAAAAATGTTAAACAAATCTGTAGCCGCCTATAGTAACACTATAGTTATTCTTATTTTATTCTTATCTTATCTTAAGTGTCTTGAATAGGAATCAAATAAACACAAAAATGTATTTTTATCATATTTTATATTTCTTCTTTCAAATTGCTCTTAACATGTCCACTTCAATATACAAAATTATATACAAAATCTAGTCATAAGGAATTATTACATGATTACTCCACCAGTCACTAGAACAGCACACACACTCAGAAATTGAATATTATTTGAAAAAATACATTTTTAGACCAATTAGGTGAAATAGGATGATTTTCTACGGCACACCTGACCATCACTCGCAGCACACTATATTAGTGTTTTTCAACCACTGTGCCTCGGTACACTAGTGTGCCGTTAGTGATGGTCAGGTGTGCCGTAGAAAATCTTCCTATTTCACCTCATTGGTCTAAAAATGTATTTTTGATAAGGAATTAATTATCTGCAAATAATATTCCATTTCTGAGTGTGTGTGCTGTTCTAGTGACTGGTGGAGTAATCATGTAATAATTCCTTATGACTAGATTTTGTATATAATTTGTATATTGAAGTGGACATGTTAAGAGAAATTTGAAAGAAGAAATATAAAATATGATAAAAATACATTTTTGTGTTTATTTGATTCCTATTTAAGACACCTAAGATAAGATAAGAATAAGATAAGAATAACTATAGTGTTACTATAGGCAGCTACAGATTTGTTTGACGTTTTTGGTTGGTGGTGTGCCTCACAATTTCTTTCAATGAAAAAATGTACCTTGGGTTAAAAAAGGTTGAAAAACACTGCACTAGTGTACCGAGGCACAGTGGTTGAAAAACACTGAAATAAACGGATAAATAAAACACATTCAGAGGGCGTTCAGCTCACCGGGGTCTGAGGGGAACTCTTCCACCAGCTTCCTGTGTGTGAAAGCCTTCTGCTGCTTCTTCCTGTGGATGATGAAGGCCACCAGGCCCACCAGGGCCACGCCCGCCCCCGTGCCCAGCACGGCCAGCCAGGTCACCCTCCGGCCCCCCCCACCGATGTCCGACTCCACTCCTGCAGCCGGAAAATACACGGTCAGACACATTTACACATTTACACAGCGGTGGGCCGTCAGGGCCTTTAAGGCCTTCTCAAGGCCTGAGAAAATATCTGAATCACAGACTGATGATAATTATATTTTGTTCATGAATACTTATTAAATATCTCTAAATGGTCTGTCCGCTTCCTTTCATAGCTTTTCCCCTGGTTGCGCTGCTTCCAGACATGTATTTTCATATAAAAGCTTTTAACCAATCACATTTCAGACATCACTTGTTGCTAGGCAGAGTCAAAGTCAAAGATGTCTGCCTGGAGGCCTTCACAATCTGTCCTGCCATATAACAGGAAATAAATGTGATTAAACTGTTGCTTTAACCAATCAGATTTTAGGTTGGTGACTCCAGGGCCTTCTAGAAGGCCTTAGGCAACGTCACCGTATCCACACCCGCTGATTGGATAGTCAGGTATCCAATCAGGGCAAAGCTAGCAAACAAACCGAAATATAGTTGTGTTGGTGTAATAGCTATTTTATGATTTGGTGGCAGATTTACTGTCAAGGCCATTTTCAAGACGGACCTTTCAAGAAAAGTAAGTGAGTAAAATGTTGTTTTTTTCTTAAATAATATCGCAAGTTTATGAGGATATTATTGATGTTTTTGTGTTTTTTTTTGGGGGGGGGGGGTTCGCAGCTGTAGCTGCAGGAGTAGAAGAAGAAGACTTGTGCACCCCTGATCTTTAGACTGTATTTTAGGCTGGTCCCGATCCGATATTTGGATCGTAGCGGCATTAGCATTAGCATTAGCATTAGCATCTGCTAAGCCACAGGTCTGTGTCCTAAACTTTAAGTTGTTACAAAAGTAAATCCCTGTTCAACATGAGTCTGACGACTAAATAAGTAGATAAATAACTTTCAACTTTAATGCAAAAAGCTGGATCAGGACATATCTACTGTATTTCTACATAATAAGATGATTTCTATAACCATAAAATAGTTATTGAGGAGTGAATTGATTCAGACGGAGCACTACTGAAGGCCTAGGTTTGAAATGCACGGTCCGCCACTGCATTTACACATAATTTGTCAACAACAAAATCATTTATATCAATTTATATCTTTGATGGCTGATTTTTGACATAATTATGGTGTAAAATGCGGTTGTGAGCGTGTTTGTGGTGGAAACATGCTGCATGCAAACACACACCAATTAGGGAGAAATGTAGGATCTACACTGTGATAATTGATGCAATTAACATCCCAAAAATCTCAATAATTTCTTGAATATATTTAAATGTTTTAAGGTGGCATGCTGAGTTCATCATCTAAATAAAGTAAACACTAACTAAATATTCCGTGAATGGCATAAATGATTCAATGTCTGACATGGATTGCACAGACAGAAAACTACATAGCACAGATAATTATAAGTTTGTAAAAAAGCAGAGAGAAACCAGCAATCTTTCGGCTCTGAGTGTAAATATTTTATAAAATAGATTTTGAAGACGATAATTGAACTGTAAACTTTCGCTCCTCTGCCATTTCACAGTTTCTGTTCCAGACAAGTGGAAAATAGATGTTTTGGAAGGCAACAGAAAACTGTCCTCAGCATCTTTTGACACAGAAAAGCTCAATTCTTTTTTCCATCTGCTCTCACATGAATAATGCAGCTTCTTCATTCTGTTTATAAATAGTTCAATTTAGCCACTGTCTTGGATCAATTTGCCTCCAACCCTCTGGGAAGTGAAGCAAGACATGCAGATTATTTCCTTTCCTGGCTACAAATTACCTACAAATACTGATAATTAAATTATTTTTGTGACGTTAATTCTTAGGATAAACGTGTGATTTAACCAGCACTCATTAGAAACGGCGTTAAAATAAGCCGACTGCAGTTTTAAGATTTACTTTTTTCAACTTTTGTCACGTCTGGGGGAATGTCTGGTGTGTTGTCATGTCTTGATTACCTATTGTGTTCCCCTGGGGTTCCCCTCCCTCATGTGTTTAAATAGTCCTCGTTTCCCATGTCCTGTGCCAGTGTGTTTCCGTCTTTCTTCTCCCCACGTCATGTAAGGTTTAATTATTTCCCATAGCCATGTTTTGCCACAGCCTTGCCACACTTTTGTTAATCTTTATTTTGTTACTTTGCTATAGCCTTGTTTACTCCTTGATATTTTGCCACAGTCTAGCTTTTCGTACCATAGTCTTATTTTTGTCACAGCCTTGCCATAGCCTTGTTTTGACCACAGCCATGTTAATCTTTATTTTGTTACTTTGCCATAGCCTTGTTTTGACCACAGCCATGTTAATCCCGTTTGTACTTTTGCCATAGTCTTGTTTTGATACTTTGCCACAGTTTTGTTAACCTTGCTTTGTTACTTTGCCCATAGTTTTCTCACAGCCTTGTTTTGAACCTTTGTCTGGACATCCACTCTTTTTGAGTGTTTTTAAAAAAAGATCTGTCCCGTCTGGGGGAATGTCTGGTGTGTTGTCATGTCTTGATTACCTATTGTGTTCACCTGGGGTTCCCCTCCCTCATGTGTTTAAATAGTCCTCGTTTTCCATGTCCTGGGCCAGTGCGTTTTCGTCTTTTGTCTCCTCACGTCATGTAAGGTTTTGATTTTTTTGTACTTTGCCATAGCCTTGTTTACTGTTTTTGTCACAGCCATGTTTTTCACAGTCATGTTTACTCTTACTTTGATACTTTGCCACAGTTTTGTTAATCTTTATTTGCATTTTTGCCATAGCCTTGTTTACTGTTTTTTGTCATAGCCATGTTTTTTCACAGCCATGCCACAGCCTTGTTAACTTTATTGCTTTGATACTTTCTTCATAGTTTTTTCACAGCCTTGTTTTGAACCCTGTCTTCCATCCACTCCTTTTGAGTGTTTTTCGTTAAAATAAACCCTTGGAACTAACCCTCTCTGTGACTGAGTCCTCCCTAAGATCCACCTCTGTGACAACTATTAATATTTCATTTCATTTAATTTATTTTGAAACATGAAATTATTTAACAATGTTTACATTGAATGCTTCATAAACATGCATCATGTTAAAAAAAATTAGTCATGGTAGTAAAGGACAATTATTTACAGTAGCAGTACACCAACTTTTTATATGCTACTCTTTTTGGTATTCATCAAAAATACTTTTCTTATATTCTTTAATTGCTGGATTAGTCCAAATGTGTGCAAAGTAGTTAAAGTGTTTGGGCCTGAGAGCAGAATGGTGATATCAGCCCGGTCTCACGGCAAATCAGAAAGTAATAACAAAACCAAATCTGTGACTGGAGGCTTTTGCTGTTCATATTGATTTTTTTTGTTTTTGTTCTAGTATGTGTGTTGGTGTTTCATCCCACACAGTCAAGATGATTCAATTTGTTTGTGAGTCCAGAAACATTTTCCACAGAGAACCAAACTTGTCTCCTTATGAGCCGGATAGTGCAGATTTTTCTGCGTGGGTTAAGTCATTTTATAGTTTAATTGCAAGTTTTAATGCTTTC